GAGGAGAGCACCGGTCGTTTCGATCTAAGTCGGATAGATCTAGCATGAAGTAGAAGAGAATTTTTCAGAGAAAGAGCGGGGCGGGGTCGCTTGGGGGAGAAAAGAGGATACCGACTCGAGATATCGGTGGAGGAGAAAGAGGATAGAATAAACGAAAGAGCAGATCGATTGGACATTGAAGATTGAACTGTAGAAGAATATAGAGGAATAATCTAAATGATAGATAAAAAAAAAGGGAAGAAGGCGAAGAAGGAGGGTTAGAGGGGAGAAAAGGTGGTCGAGATAGGAGGGAGCTGGTGAGGTGGGAAAGGAATGGGTGCCGGGATGGGCAGAAGCGGCACGAGCGGCGGCTTTCTCGAGGCACTTCCCACGGGAACGCCGCTCCACGTGGCTATGCTCGGTCTTGATAGTGCTGGGAAAACCACCGCGTTGTATCGACTCAAGTTCGACCAGTACCTAAACACTGTGCCCACCATCGGCTTCAACTGCGAGAGAATCCGTGGTGGCATCGGAAAAGCGAAAGGTAAAGAAACTTTCCTTATTAACTTTGTCAATGGTAAAATTGGGGACGATCGAAGTTGATGCGTGAATTTGTTGTCCTTTCAATTCTATATATTCTATGTATATTTATATATTCATGTAAATAATATCCTATATTCATATCATTGTCTTTCTTTCTGGATTCATTTTTCAATATACATTCATCGATAAATTCTTATCTTGTACAAGTTACAAAGCTAGCGTGCACAAATCGTTTAGCAAATATTATTTTTTCAATTTCTTAGAATTTACTATTATTTATTTTCTTTTTCCTGAGATAGTTGAATTTATTGAAATGAATGATTTCTTAAGAATTGAGTGTCGATTGTCGATTGAAATAACTATAAAGTGTAGTTGATCAATTTTATTTCCAATAACAGAAGATTTTATATTGAAAAAAGCAAACATATCAATGTTAAATAATTGAGATAAAGTTAATTCATATATCAGTTTTGGTCGTCCTGATTATCAAAATAACTAGTCGAATTATTCTGAATTTTTTATTAACAAATTACTTACAAGAGTTTTACAATTTTCATGGCAAATAGGATAATCAAACAACTTGGAATTTGTAATATTTCATTTATTTTATTATTATAATACATTTCTTTTGCAAGGGTATTTATTAATAACTCACAACTTGTAACAGTTTAAGACAGAAAGAAAATAATTCTCAATCTAGTAAATATCGAATCTAATAAATAAACATAATAAATAAATTGGGGATATTTATGCACATTCATGCTTGCGTACGAACCAGTTGAATATAAAACTGTTAAAAATTTTAATTATTTATGATGTAACTTTTATGACTATTTTTCTGTTTGAAAAAAATGCAGTGTATTAATTGAAATGTTTATTTCATACACTTTTGCGCAAATAAGAAACTTTTATTTTCTCAACGTTTTAATTAAACAGGTACATTTACTCTGCTTTGAAAAAATTAAAACTATAGCAAGCTGATTTCTTGAAATGTTGTTGAGATATAATAGACTCGAAATTGAAACCTCTCTTGGTGAAGTTTTATTTGTAAGAGACTGTTCAATTCTTTAAATTATATTGAATTATATTAAAAAAAAAATTCCTAACGTTTATATTTTACACTTAAATATCTGTTCGAAAGCATATATGATCATTCAGAAGTATTAATTAAATACAAAATAACTGCTCAAACTGAATTTTTTTAAAGGAGTTAAAGTGTTAATGTACAAAGTTAAAATGGAAAATGAAAAAATAAATCGAAATGAGAAAATAAAGTTTTTTTGAATTTAAGGTTTCATTTTCAAGATAAATTAGATTTGAGAAAACTTGTATTTTAATTGGCTAATTCTGAACTGAACAGAAGCGAATAATAAACATGAAGTGTAATAAGTAAAAAATGTAAATTTGATAATTTATCAAATACATATGAACTAATTAATTCTCAACTCAGTGACGCTCATCAATTTACGTAGGTACATATTGATGATATTTAAATTGTTTAATTTCATAACACTTTCATAAAACAGCGAATCTGGGCCAATTTTAAAACGTGAAGCTTCTACTTTAACAATCATTGGATTCATTTTTTCCAAAAATGTTTTGTAGTGAATAGGAAAGTAAAGATATTTTTTTACAAATGCTATAAATTGAAACATTAAAAATATTCAAAGAAAATATTGAAAAAATTCAGATTATTGTCTTCCAGAATATTGAAAAAATTTTCTCATAATTGAATCCACCGTAGATTTGAAGATTCAAGCTTTCCCTTTGTTGTAAAATTTCTTAATTACATCCGAAATGAAAACAACGAAAATTTCTTTGACAGTCTTAAAATTTCTTAAATTTTTGTTGTTTAGCAAATTTTAGAGAGTTATCAAAGTGAAACTTCAGTCTTCAGTTATAAAGAACAATATTTTTATTTTCCCACCTGCAACGTAAAGACATTTTTAAGAAAACTGAATCCAGGATTGTGAAAGTAGAAGGTTATTTCATGTTTTGAAATAAGCTCAGATTCATTGCTATGTAATTTCTCATGTTTACGAAATTATAATAATTCAAATGTTGTTAATTGTTCGAAACATTGGAAATTTAATGTTTTTCTCGAAAAGTAAAGTCTTAAATAAAAAAATATTATTTTCTCTTTCCGATTTATTTTTCCATAGAATCACGCTTTGATAGACACTTTGTACATTTTCACATACTACGTGCGTTGTACGTGTATAGTTTTTGTATTTTAAAATTTCCCATAAATTTATTAAAGAATGGCTAATTTTAATTTTAATTTAATAAAAAATGGCTAATTAGACTGAAAATTCATATTTTTGAAAATATATTTTTCGATACATTATGCTAGTTACGTGCAATTTTGCGCTTTAAAATTTGCATATAAAACGCATAAAAATTCGCAGTTTTTATTAATGGAAAATGATTGTAGCTTGAATTTTATGGTAACCGATGATGATTTTTGACGAATGAGAAATTATTGCCCCCGACGACACGTTTATAGATGTAACACGCAAATGCGCTGGATACGTAACCATTACACGATCGAGATAACGCTTAGCGCGAACATTTATTACAGTTATCGCGTGCGTGGCGATGTAATAAGTCGACGTCGATGTTTCCTCGCGGTAAGCAACTAGGTCTGGTTGCTCTAGAAACTTGGCAGTAGCGATCGCGCTAAGAGATGGAAATCGCGTCAAAGAATTTCCTCTTTTGTCCCTTTGCATTTCGCATTGGCATGTCCGTCTCAGCGAAAGTACAGTTCGCTGTGAAAAGAAATCTCAGCGTTAGAGAAATGTCCTACGAGATCCATTCGCTCGAATTAAAACAGGACGTGAAAGCAACTAAAACGAGCGCGCTCTGAGCTCTGTTCGAGACAACAATGTCACCGGGGGAAAAATCCATGTCGCATGTTCTCTCAATTACTTTTATACACTACAGGTAGCATTTTTACAGTGTTTTACACAAGCAAAAAAGAAGTCGAAGACCCGAGGAAAATTTTTACATCTTCTTTTATAATTTCTTTCTCTTCTGACAGCTTTGGAAAGTAGTTTATAGAACAATTACAATAACAATAAGATCTCGATTAACACTTTGAATGCCATGTCTCCCAATTCTGGGAAACGATCTTATTCACTCAGATAGAAACGATTTTTGCACTTATTTCAGACAACAAAGTTTTGATTTGTTGATGAATAAATATATAAATTTGTAAATAAATAAATATACAAAGTGGTAACACTTTGAGTGTCAAAAGTTTGTATTTCGTTGAATAAATGAAATATATATATATATTTAAGCCCTTTACTTTGATAAGTGGCACAAGTCACTTTGTTTTTAAGGGTTTGCGATTTACAAAAATTTATGTCAACTTTTCGAAGGTTTACGTATTTGTTATCTCGGATATTTGTACTTTTCTCAGTATAAATAATTTCACACAGACGTAAATAGTTCATCGACTTATGTTAATTTTATCCGATGTGTTTTACCGAAGTGATGTTTAATAATTTAAGAAAATTGATGAATAAATTATAAATTATAATAAAAGTAATTTATATAACGTATTTTATATGAACATTTATTCGAGAATTTTTTCATTATAATTAATATCCATAGGATACATGAATAATGACAACAAAATTCATTAGTACATTTTAAAACATAAATATAGGTAATTTATAAAACGTATTTCATATAAAAGTTTATTCTTTAAATTGAATCAGCGCCATTAATAGGATCTCGTTTTGTTTTAAATTTCTAAAATAATTGTGATAAATTGGTGATGTATCAGGCCGAGCACTGACTATAAAGGTTTTATTTCTATTTCTGAATAATATTTTGGTCTTCCACTTTTACACATGACAAGTCCAAAGTTAGAAATTCTGCTTTTTCACTTAGAAAAGATTAGTTCGTAAAACATTTTGTAAAGAATATTACGAGATTTTTATCCACTGAATTTCTAGCCAATTGACGTTGACGAATCGCCATTTTTCATTACTGTAAAGTGATTTATGTCATTTTCAAAATAAACATTTTTATTATTAATTTTATTAGTTGTCTAAACTTCTATTAACTTAGAAAGAATAAAATTTTTTCATTTAAAGCTTAAGAAAATAGACTTTGTATTTAGTGTGTTTCGATAAATTTTCAAATTCGATTTTTTTTCGAAAATGGAGCATCATATGAAAAAATTTTATTCTTTCTTTTCTATTTATTTTTGCATGTATTAGTAACTACATTTTTTTGTGTGTAAATGAAAAGAGAATTTTTCACGAGAAATAAAAGCTTTATTAATATATATTTTTTGTTCGATTATCTTTTATCATCTTTTAAACAATTTTATGATGCCGCGTTCAAAGAAAAAGTTCTTATCTTTTTCGATAAAAAAAGTTCCAAGAACGATTTGATATCCTTATCAGTAGCTTCACCATATATATATATTACGTTTATACATCATATATACATCATATATATTACGTTTTAAATGTAAATCAAGACTAATTTAACCATTATATATATAATTTTTTATGAGCTTATACGTGGTTTTTTTCTTTTCCGGAAGTAGTACAGCAAAATATGACAAAAATGTTCCCTTCTGATTTTCCATTTTGAAATCAACATCGTCAAACGAACAATTGTTAACGAGATCGTGCATTTTGTTATTCTAAAACAAGCTTAAACAATCAGGTATCAGATTACACAATGAATTTGCGGTTTAAAACGAAGTTAGTTTACATTTTAAGATATACATATTAGAAAAAAATGCAATTACATTTTGGCCAATCCAACAGAGTCACACACTGATCGGTTATACCACGACTTCGGAAACACTTTGTGTAATACTCTGTGCAAGAGTTCAGATCCAACAGTATTTACACTCCTGCACCCCAAATTCTAGTTTTCTCCAATTTCGTTCTTTCTGCAATTCTCGTCCCGAGAGGATAACAATAATAGAGAGACAATGCAATGAAACGAAAGGAGGAAGATAAGTAAAATGAATTCCCACGGTGGCTTGTCGCAGGTGTAAATTTTCTCGTGTGGGATGTGGGCGGGCAAGAGAAATTACGACCATTATGGAAGTCCTATACCAGATGCACAGACGGTATTATCTTCGTGGTTGACTCTTGCGATGCAGAACGGCTCGAGGAGGCAAAGATGGAGCTGACCAGAACCGCCAGGAGCCCGGATAACGCTGGTGTTCCCATTTTGATCCTAGCCAACAAGCAGGATCTGCCAGGTAACACAGTTTTCGTGCATGTATGCATGTGCTAGGTTGGCATTTCGTCTGGATTGTAAAAGGAACCGTGGCCTCTTTTCTAAACGGGATTGCTCACAGTGACACATGTACGCTCTCCCGTGTACAAAAGTTCAGAGCATATTGACATCTCAATAGAAATATCCCTTCTACTAAATAAATATTTTAAATATTCGTGACGTTATTTCTTATACTTTTGAAATTTTTATCAATCCCATTTAAAGATCAAGGTTGTAATTATAATACATTCGCTTTTTGTTTCGTCCGAAAAAGTAAAAGATGTTCCAAGCTTTTGAACGGAAGTATTTTTTTATACAGATACCTCGACAACGAAAGAAATCATAGAGAAAGAAAGTGAAAGGGGGAGAATTTTTTATTTTGGGTCAAATATTTAATTATTCGTGAAATTTTACTCGATTGCTTAAAGTAGCACAGTATTAAACGTGCTTTCGTGTTCACTCGAAATATCTTCTTTAAAGAAATATTTAAAAACGTTTCTATTTTCTGTTATATAATAACAATTGGAAAGAATAACAAAAAGCGTTAAAAAGAGACGAATTCTTTATTTGTGATACTTTAGTATTACTTGCTTAGTATTAACAATTTATCCATAATGTAAAAGTAAAATTTTTTATTCTTCAATTGAAATCATCATTATCCGGGAGACTTTGTTTGGACATTGGTTCTAGTAAATGGTTTCTATGTTAAAGAAAAAACAAGAGAGAATCGCTTTCGAAGACTTAAGAGTGTAAATAAGCAGCCGCGAAAACAACCATGTATCGGTTTAAGCGTATGGCTTCGCTAGGACTATGCACTTGACCGCAATTTATACCGAAGCATGATTAAATTATATAGAGTGTTCACGGATTTATTAGCTAATGTTTTTGCCATAAACGATAAGTACGAGAAAAAAATGAAAGAAGGAAAGGTAATTTTTAATTTTTCAAATAGAATGATATTTATTTTTTTAAACGTAAATCGAGACTAATTTAACCATTTCCCATAAAATGACCTTTGATGACAAGATGAAAATCAAAAGAAAAAATCCGAATATTTTATGAATATATTTCTCAAGTATTAGGAATATTTCATGTACTAGTAAATAAAATTCAAAATTTTTCTTTCAGTTTTGGTCTTCTATGATATTCAAGATCGTTGTATAATATTGTTATAATTGTTTTGATGTAAAATATTTTAAAAGAAGTGATGTAAACACAAAAAAATTTCCTATACCATCACGTTGCTTACAAAAAAGTATTACTTTTTCTTCTTTCATTATTTTTTTTTATTTACAAGGAAGGTGCTGGCTAGTAATCCTGTGACAATATATGTACATATACATATAATCCATATGAAACAATAAAATTTAATTTCACAGGAATTATTTCTAATAATTTAAAAAAAATGATAGTTATTCACGAGATTATCATTATGGGCTTCTGCATGTTATTCTTTTATGCTTAATATTATGTAACTAAAAATGTTAATCATTGTGTAATATGTACCATTCATGTAACTCAATATTTACAGATTAATTTAGCAAAAATAATCGTTAAGAGTTTTAAAAATATTTCTTTCAACGACTTTGAACGCTAACTAATTCTGAAATTGTCAAACATGCAAAGATCATCAAGAGGCGAACTATCATTATCTACAATTAGAATATTAAATTACAAAATTCAACAATCTTAAATTATAGTACTTACTAAAAAAGACTTCGTTATGAAATATTTCAAAAATCCGAATTCCATCATAAAATTATCCTCAAATTGAGTTGAAATCCTCATCTTCAAATTAAATTCTAAATGAAAAAATATTCTCCACAAAATCTTTGTCCAATTTCATCATAAAACTAGAACTCTGTTTATCTACGATTAAAATCCTAAATTAAAAAATTTCACGATTCTGGAAAAAGAAAAAGAAAAAAGAAATTTTTTTATGCGTGAAATGTTTTAAAGATCTAAATTCTATCATAGGATTAGAACTATTATTTTCGATTCCAAACTAAGAAATGTTCTTCACAATTTCTCTTACAAAAGTTATAAAAAGAAATCTTTACAAGACCGGAAGAATTATTCTTGACCAGAATCAATTGAAAAAAAATTTGCACGATTTTGAAATACTAGAAAAGTAAATTCTAAAGACTTAAACTATTTACGTAAAGGACCGAAAGAAAAAAGGAAAGGAGAAATACAATTACGTTTATTATATTTCCTGTCTGAAAATATTTTTTAAATACTTCAAATTCAAATATTTTAAAAATATTAATAATTTCGTATGTCTTGTTTGTTTATCAAGGGTACACAGGCATTAACAAATGATTTTATGAAATGCATTTTCCATATATTTATTGCTCGAAAAGTTTAGAGTTAACGAAACATTTCACTCTCTGCTCACTATAATTAACCAAACCGTTCCACCTGTTGTCCACAGGTGCCAAAGAGGTAGGCGAGTTGGAAAAGCATTTAGGCGTCTTGGAACTAGCCGGGATGCCAGGTAGTGCGTGCATCAGAGTACAGCCGGCCTGCGCGATCACCGGCGAAGGGCTTCACGAGGGACTGGACACGTTGTATCAGCTGATACTGAAGCGACGTAAGCTCGCGAAATTGAACAGGAAGCGTGCCAGGTAGGCCAGGGCCTCGGAGGACTGCACGTGCGTCTTCTGATTTTGTAAGTCGCGGACAGTCTCTCCTTTGGACACAGCCACGCCTTCCATGGTGTCTTCTTCCTCGTCTTCTTCGTCATGCTGCAATGGCGACGTCCACGTGTTCGAGTGAATGCACGTGCACACCTCCTGTTCAATTGCGGACAATTGTTCTCGTTGTGGAACACACCCTCGATCTTTTGTTCTCGACGATTGTTTCTTCTGGGCCGGCGTTGTTTTCCAGACGCTAGCCGGCCGGATCTGTGTTTCACAAAATGCAAGGCTGGACGGTGGATTCGTGCAACCGAGATCGAAACGGAGAGTCATTCCAAATGGGATTCGTGGCTTTCCGTTCTTCGATCTATGATCTTCTCTGATCCACGAAGACTAGATAGTTTTCGTCGAAGAAAGAATTGAAGATGCAAACTAGACTTGTATGAATTGGATTTCTTGGATTTAGTTGGGTGATGTATTTAATAAGCGTGATAAATATACGCGACAAAAACTGCCACCAAAGTTACGTGGCTGACTCTAAAAAAAAGAAAGAAAGAAAAAAAAAAGAGAGGTTGGCGACCCTTGAAAAAAGTTAAAGGATAATGACAGACGGAGGCGATATCAGTTGGAATATTTTTCCAACAGGATATTTTGGCTGAGAGAATTTAAGGCGTTGCTCATTTACCGATAGCTATTTTCGTTGGTCCTAAAGAATGCAACACATGTCTTCTCTCATTGAAGAGGAACCCAAGAACGAGACGTAGAAAATGCGGTAATGGCGGATTATTTGTCATTATATTTAGATGAATGTCTGTGACGACAACGAAACAAGTGCTTGTTCATAACAGCTCTATTTTGCCAAATTTTGCATCATTCTTTGGGAAACGATTTTCAGCGATCCCTGCCGATTGTCTCTGCTTGTTGTTCAATAAGCAGAGCCTGGAAGTCGCTTAAAGTCATACGTTTCACCGATAAAAATTGAATCGAGAACAAGGAAGCAGAAATACTTCGCTCGAGAGAATAAGACGATCGAGACTTTTGCGATAAACGGGGCTTCGTCGACGACTTCGTTACTGATAAAGATGACGTCGAATCGTATATAAATAATGCTGACGTGGTCTGGGTCAAGAAGACCAAGATAAAAGAACCTGGATATTAATAACTATGACTATATGTGCTCGCAGAATGACCGGGATTAACTGAAAAGTTCATCACAATGGGGAACATCTGACTATGATTTTTAATCAGAATGGCACAGTACCGAAGATTTTTTTTACTTGACCAATGGATACGCAGCGGGGATTCTTGCAGCGAATAGAAGAGAATTTTGATAGACGATTTTTTGCTACGTGGAAAATCCGAGGTTTTGGATTATCCTCCATCGTGAATTTATCGTATTTTTCACGCGTTTGTGAAACATGAGGTGTATCGTCGGCCAGACGATGATCGTGCCTCACCAGTTTTTTGCACCTTTATACCACGTAATGAGAGATAAATCGTTAATATCAAACGTAATAGAATATCGTTGCTTCTTCCTGACGAATGGAATTTTTGTAAAACGATGTGGTTAACAACCCCTGCCGTTGTTATCCTTTTACTTTTTCCTGTTCCAATTAGCCTGTACACGTGAATCTGTATTGTATTCCTTGTATCGTGCTCTAAAGCGAACCTGAGCCTGATTAGAACCGATACATATCTCGAGGAAGTCCAATAAATGATTCAGTGTGATATTCTTTTTATTAGGATCGGAATTGAGGGATTTTCCTGGAAAGGATAATTTGAAATAAATTAAATTTCAATGTGCAAATAAACTTGCGCGTGAACTTTTCTCCTTTCCTACGTTCATAAAGCGAATAAAAATTTCACGATACACCTAAATCTTTCAGAAAGCTCCTCAGTTATGTATAATTCGTTGAATCGTAATTAATTAGATGTTCTATTTATATTTTACGAGTTTATCCGTTGAATGTTTAATCTAGCGAAGTGGATGAGCTTTCAAGAACGTTCTTTAGGAAATTAATCGATTTCTGCATAAGAATTTTAAGCAATGGTTGCGGCTCAAAACAGTGGGTGCTCGTGTTTACTAGTGTATTGTGTCTCTAACAGTCTCTTCGACATGTGGACTTCCGGTACGTGCAGTTCTTATCGACCACCATTATACGAGACGATATTTTCTTGATGCTCTGGGGAAAACATATCACCCTTTTTTTGTTTATAGTTGACAATTTAAATCTTATTAATAATTCGTAACAAATGTTATAAATTAATTATTATAGTTTCTTCGTACATATGTTGAAGAAACATTTAATGTCAAAAATCTATTATTTTTTAATGGTGATTCCTGTTTATAGAAAGTATGGTATGAAATTATTCAATCGGTTCGTTGAAAAAAAAAAAAAATAGTTTACTGTTAATTGAAAGTATATAAGTTTGTCGCTAAAAGAAGTTACGTGAGTGTTCTCGTGGCCGTCCCTTCTTCGTTTTCTCAATTATTCTCCAACTTTTATATAAATTTCCCATGTTTCAACATACTTTCCCCTAGGAAAAGAACAAGTTCTTCCATGAAGTTTCTTCCTCTCGTGAAAGAAAAGGATCTGAATATCGTTTTGACTTTATTCTTTACGTGGAAATAAAGATACTTTACTAGTCTACTTTCAACGAAACGTGCTTCCTCCTTCTGGGATCACTGGAATACGAAAGAATTACGATCGTACATTTAACGAGTTCCATCGAGTACCAAGAGATAATATTTTTGTTGAAAAGAAATAAAATGTGAAACGACTCCGAGTACAAGCAAGAAATTAAAAGGAATTCTTCTCGTATGTTTAGCGGCGAAGTGGAGGAGAAAGAATCGAGAAAGAATTGCAATTTCCTCTCGAAAAATGTATGCCTTTTATTTCCGGGTGAGCGAGGTTAAATATTGAGCACACAAATGTCGGCCGAGCTAATTTAACTAGTTATTTATATTACGGTGCACTGATCGATATTACCCTGAGAGACAAAGGGCAACATGTGACCGGAAATCGTGGTTTGCGGTGAACGATGTGCAAAGACATTATCCGGAACAACGATCTCCTGTGTGGAAGTAGCCGTGAAATCGGAAGTGTGCCTCGTGATAGGAAGAAATCAGAAGAACACCAGGAAATAAATACGTTCTTTACGTATACAAATTACATATCAAAGAGATGGAACTTCCGATTTCTCTTCCGAAGAGAACTTCTAATTTTTTCTTTTTTTTTTTTCTCGAGTAATAAGCAGAATTTGAAATCTGAAGGATATTGTTAAAATTTTGGGGAAATTATTGCGTTATTTGAAATCTTTAATTATAAAAATTAGGTTTAGAGTAATTTTGTTTAAAATCAAAAGAAAAGATATGAATAACATGACTCAATTGCTTCATTAACTTTGTTTTAGAACGTAAAGCAACTTTATTTTCAAATTGAATAATTTATTATTTTATTCAAGTCTTTTAAATGAAAAGCCATCGTTCTTTCATAATCTTTGCAAACAATTGATCTGATTTCATCTTGATTGCACGTACTGTTTTATTGTATTAATCTAAAATTAAAATCGATGAATCGCTTTCCTGATAACACGAGTCGATAGATACATTTGGAATTGATCACTATTAAATTATTACATTTGAAAACAGTAACTGTTCTAATATTAGTAGTTCGAATAAGAGTGTATATCTTCCATCGATATTTCCTTAATATTTATTTTGTTTCAAAAAAATTGTTGTACATTATATTCTTTAAAAAGTTTTTCTTCGAATCTTTTTCCGAATAATAAAAGAATTTTAGTCGATTAGAAAGGAAGTATTATCGATTCTCTATATTATTATTTCCACAAAAGAAAAGAAGCGCAGTCGTCTGTTCATTTTCTTTGAATTTAAATAAAATATCGAAAGTCAGAGATTGGAAGGAGGTCGGATTGTCATCTCGAAGGAGTTGGGAATCGATAAAAGTGCAATGAGCCATAGGCACGGCTCTGGTGTGATTTATCACCGAGCAAAACGCAAATCACTAAAGTCACGCGATTTTTAAATATTTACAAGAATAAGTCGCGATAAGAAACGACGTATATGCATGATGCATATTCCTGTCGATATTCGGCAGCAAGAAGAAAATGGCGACCCGAAACTTGTGCTACCTAGAAGATATGCAAAGATAAGGAAAACGAGGATGACGGAAAATAGAATAAAGATGCGTCAAGGAAACTGGAAACGATGTTGAACGATGATACGTGCAATCAGATATTTTGTACTAAAATGGACGAAACTTGTACCTTATTGCTTAAAGAGTTCTGACAATTTTACACCAGCTGGAGCTGGCTCAGAACATTCATTAGAAACCATAAATTTTCCGTTGTTGGAAGCTTTCAAGAGTTATTACAGTCAGAAAATATTTCCTGGACGCAACAATTTTTTATATAGATCGTAATGTCAAGAACATGAATGAAATATACGAATGTTTCGCGTGGAAGAGCAGATGAACCGTACGAGATGGAACCAGTTTCTTCACACTTTGTTGCTCGGCATGTCTAACGATTCCCTTACATGCACTTCCTACAACTCACGCGTGCTGGAATGCGTTGAAAATGGATCGATAAATGGCGAACACCTTGCATTTTCTTGCGATTCTTCCGCTATTTTGTGACATGTTATGTTTTTCAGAAACTATGTTTTTTTCGGAACTTAAACAATGTAACTTTTTTTCTTAGTTTTGTCATTTCGAACTATAGTGGATTCATAAACTCGTTCAAACTCATTGATTGCTATACAATTTATGTTGTGCTTGTTTTAATAAACTAGTAATTATATATTATCATAAAATAGAAAAATATTTTAATGATTTACTATTTGAAATACAGGCTATTGATCTGCACACATAAAATTAATTATATTAATTACTTTAAATCTCTGTTTTCACTAAAGTAACTCGAAAGTAATTCGAATTCAAATTTGTACCTGTATAAGTCAAGTTACTTGAGTTTTTCCTGATTTTAAGCAATATGGATGCTAATATCAGTAACAATAAGCGAAGTTTATTTCAAGTAAGAAATAATGACACAAAATGATATTTCAAATCAGCTAAGATAACAAATTACAATTAACAATAATAACAACAAGTGTACGAACTTGAGAGGATTTATCAGATCAACTAAATAATAGGTCCACATCGCTCAACAACCTTCAAACAACTTGTCTAGTCCGAACGAGATTTTCAACTACTTCTATCATTATCGCAACAAATCATCGATTTCACAAGAAATCTCAGCTTTGCCAATATGTTTCCCCGAATATACTTCCATCCTCCGGAAATTTCACGAAAGTCTAAGAAACTTAGGAGACCCTTGGTCGTTCGAAGTTCCTCAAACAGTCAGGACTTTCCTTTCCGCTCACGTGACACTCGCCTTAACCCAGTTTGCAGCGAATTTCCGGTGGCACCGATCGCCGCGACCGACAACTTAATTACCACGGTCTCTAATTAGCGTGTCCTCCTGGTCCTTGACGACTTAGAAGGGCGTCGCGACGAGAGCACACGATCCGCTTCTGTGTCC